CAAGTCGGTATGCACAGCCGAGCAGTTCTTTCTCCAAATCCGCTTTGAAGCTACACGTCAATGAAATCACTACTGACAATTCATTAGCCCAAATAAGTTCTCATCTTGTAGATTGTGATGCAGCTGAAGGAGGGGATTCTAATCACTCTGACATCATCACGTCCGAAGAAGACTGTACAGATGACGTCGTATTCGTCTTTGAAGGTAAGGCCCAAATGATTCTGAGAGAGAGTATTGAAAGAGAGATACAACAACGAGATAAAACAAAACAGAATAAAAGCAAGAAACGTCTTTACATCAGCACTTGTAAAACATGACGGCGCAGGTACTCTCTTCGTCTGTAAACTTAAAGGTATATGGATGTCTAATTTAGATTCCGGAGATTAAAAATAATATATGTCTGCAAAAGAGTGGGGTTTTTTTTGGGGGGGGGGGCTGGGGGTTAACAGATTTATATCTGATCTTGTGTACTTGTAAATATGTACATACTATAAATAAATAATAAATAAAAAAAAAAAATTGCATTTCCACAACGTGGCATAATACATGATGGAGACAACGTTGATGATGTAAGGGATGGAGATGATGAGAGGGATTGGTGAGGGATGGATATGATGAGAGGAATGGAGACGATATTGATAATGAAAGGGATGGAGACAATGTTGATGATGTAAGGGATGACGACGATATTGATGTCTCTCCCGTCTCCATCCCTTCCATCGTCTCCATCCCTCCCATCGTCTCCATCCCTCACACCGTCTCCATCCCTCTCATCATCTCCACCCCTTTAATCAACAGCGTCTTCATCCCTCTCATCATCTCCATACTTCACACCATCTCAATCCCTCCCATCATCTCCACCCCTCTCATCAACAGTGTCTTCATCCCTCTGATCATATCCATCCTTTACATCAACATCCCTCACTTATTCCTCTCATCATCTCCATCCCTCACTTATTCCTCTCATCTCCATCCCTCACATTGTCTCCATCCCTCTCATCATCTTTATTCCTCACCAATCCCTCTATCGTCTCCATCTCTCCCATCATCTCCACCCCTCACACCGTCTCCATCCCTATTCCTCTCATCGTCTCCATCCCTCACATTGTCTCCATCCCTCTCATCATCCCTCTCATTTCCATCCCTCTCATCATCTTCATTCCTCACCAATCCCTCCCATCGTCTCCATCTCTCCCATTGTCTCTATCCCGCTCATCATCTCCATCCCTCACCAATCCCTCTCATCATCTCCATCCCTCCCATTGTCTCCATCCCTCTCATCGTCTCCATCCCTCTCATCATCTCCATCCCTCACATTGTCTCCATCCCTCTCATCATCTCCATCCCTCCCATTGTCTCCATCCCTCTCATCGTCTCCATCCCTCTCATCATCTCCATCCCTCACATTGTCTCCATCCCTCTCATCATCTCTCCCATTGTCTCCATCCCTCTCATCATCTCCATCCCTCACCAATGTTTAATATCAAGTGAACAGCAATAGATGGCGCTATACTAGGCACATTGCTTAAGGAAGTGCTATTACAAATATATATGTATTCATGTCAGGCACCAAGACGACAGTACAAGAAACGAATGACTTGGGTGATAAAGTAATTCCAAGTGCATTGTCACAACAATCATCAATATTCACAATCCCCCCCCCCAAAAAAAAAAAAAAAAACGATCTACAAAATTTGCTGTTTTTCCTAATTTTTTTGTAGTGATACTTAGATCTATTTCTGTATTTTTTCAGAACAAAAATAAGGCATATAGGCCTACACCTTGACATTCATCATCAATATCAGTTATTCACACACCGCCCCTAAAGACAATCGTGTATTATGCCACGCAGTGGTTTAATGCAACTTTGTTTTTTTTATTTATTAATTATTTATACTGTACATATTTATACAGGTACACAAGATCAGATATTTAAACAAAAAATGTATATATATAAAAATTGATTTTGCTCATACATCTTTGCTTCTGTTGCTGATTACATACCCCAAGATGGAATGGGAGGAGCTGCATTATATATTTTTTTTTAAATCGAAACTTACATCACAATTATTTTTTTCAAAATATTCTTCATAGAAATTTGAGGAACGGATATTGACCAGTTGACCAAAGGTCCGGGAGACTGAAGGCTTGCGAGCCCGAAGATCCCCATGCCCGCCCATGCACCGGCACGTCATTGCAATATCTTGTCTTAATTGTTTTGCTTAATATATCTCTTTGATTCTTTGATTCCCAGAAAAAGGGGAACAAAAAGGAGAAAATTGGTTTTGCAGGCAATTCAGTCTCGTGGATCATGGATTTGACACCGTGGCCCGCACCCCCCCCCCACCCCCCCCCCCCCCACTCAGAGAACGGAAGGATACCGTGCATGTTACCAAAATGTCCAGTCAAGGGGTACTTTTCGTGTGAAAAAGTCCGGCCAGAAAATTGTAAAAAAGTATTTGACTTTTCACCCAGAGATTTCTTTAAAAAGGGGGCGTTTTTATTTGTTTTTCTCTTTGGATTCCTTATAAATTTAAAAAGGGAGTCATAAAATATCTTTCATATCATTGAGCAGTGTTCCAGATTAAAGGAGGTCTCCAAGGCAGGAAAAGGCAGGGGGTGCTTTAAAAAAGAAGGAACAAAATATCACTGAGTGGGGGGGGGGGGGGCACCAAGGTAACAAGCCTGCCCTCACCCAAATACAGCAGTCTAAGTACTATACATGTAACTTATATAAGAATATAAGTAAACCAAGTATTTGCAGATCCAGTGTTGAGTAATTGTCGTCAAGCCGAGGCAGTGAGGGGTATCGAGCCAATTTTTTTTTTTGGTGGAAGGGGGGGGGTGGGGGGCTGCATTATTTATAACAAAACTTGAAATCAACACCTTTTTTTGAGGCAGCATACGCATGCAGGAATTACCCGGATGCAGGCCCCCTCCAACAATAAAAAAAGGAAGGCGATTCTTCAGCTCACTTCTACAAGGCTAGGCCCTTACCTTAGATCTAGCTATTTATCAAGTCTTTAACTTTTAGAAGTAAAATATGATTATTTGATTATGATAAGTATAAGTAGGTCTAGATCTAGGCCTATATGATAATGATGTAGATCTAGCTACAGTAGATATAGATCTACATGTAGGTCTAGTTTACTCACTAAATCAAATTGGATATTCTACTCGGAATGAATAATGATAATACAGTAGATACAGATCTAGTTTGATTAGTAATACTCACATCACTCGATCAGATTGGGCAGTACAATCATGCAATGCAGTGCAGCGGCCCGGTACGGGCGCCGAGTCAGTGAATTCCCCCGCCGACCCGGCCGGCGGCGCTGTACGGCTAGCTGCACACTGAGCTGAGCTGCTGCGGTAGCACTAGGCAGTAGTCTGCTAATTTACGGCCAGGACGAAAGAATGTGAACAAACATCAACCATCTCGTCTATAATGGACTATATTCGACCTCTCAATAATGAAATTTGTGTCAGGAATAAAAAAATAGACCTTCATACGAGATAAAAATGATACTTTTGCAGTGATTTACTGACAAAAACACTGCTCGACTTTCGGTGGTCCGAGTAGATACAACGCACATTTAATGTACGTGCGGATTGCGAGATGTGAGTAAATTGTCCGAAATGTCATTTTTTTTTGTGTGGTCATTTTACCTAAAGATAAGTTATAGATTGTCTTCAATGGTATCATTTAACACAATTCCATTAAAGATTTTGGTTGGAAAGGGCATTATTAAGTCACAAAGAGCACAAACATATACACATTGGTATCTCTCGATCGATTAATACCCTGATAGCAGACTGACGTCTTAAAGACGTCATAAATTGGTCGTAAAGTGGTAAACACGTCGTACGTCGTATGGACGACGTAATTACGACGTCATTATGACGTCTTTATAAGACTATTTTTTCCAAGATAATTTTTGTCGTATTAACGACGTCATAAAGACGTCATTTTGACGTCTTTAAAAGACTATTTTTTCCAAGCTAATTTTTGTCATATTGACGACGTGATAATGACGTCATTATGACGTCTTTAAAAGACTATTTTTTCCAAGATAATTTTTGTCGTATTAACGATGTCATAAAGACGTCATTTTCTCATCTTTAAAAGACTTTTTTTCCCAAGCTTATTTTTGTCGTATTGACGACGTGATAACGACGTCATTATGACGTCTTTAAAAGACTATTTTTTTCAATGTAATGTTGTCGTATTGACGACGTGATATCGACGTCATTATGACGTCTTTAAAATACTATTTTTTCCAAGCTAATTTTTGTCGTATCGACGACGTCATTATGACGTCTTTAAAAGACTAATTTTTTCAATGTAATGTCGTCGTATTGACGACGTGATAACGACGTCATTATGACGTCTTTAAAAGACTATTTTTTCCAAGCTAATTTTTGTCGTATCGACGACGTCATTATGACGTCTTTAAAAGACTAATTTTTTCAATGTAATGTCGTCGTATTGACGACGTGATAACGACGTCATTATGACGTCTTTAAAAGACTATTTATTCCAAGATAATTGTTGTCGATCGTATCGACGACGTCATTACGACGTCTTTAAAAGACTAATTTTTTCAATGTAATGTCGTCGTATTGACGACGTCATTACGACGTCATTATGACTTCTTTTAAAGACTATTTATTCCAAGATAATTGTTGTCGTATCGACGACGTCATTACGACGTCTTTAAAAGACTATTTTTTCCAATATATTTTTTGTCGTATTGACAATGTCATTACGACGTCATTATGACCTCTTTTAAAGACTATTTTTCCAAGATATTTTATTGTCGTAAGGACGACGTTATAACGACGTCATTGTGACGTATCTAATAACTTTTTTTTTCAAGATAATAATTGGGTTAAGACTACAACATCTAATATGAGCATAAGTCAAAGTAAATAGGGCAATTATCAGAATTAAAAATAGGGAACAACCCCCCCCCCCCCCAGCGCCTCCCCCCCCCCCCCCCTCAAATGTCATTAGTCATTAATAGTGGACCAATTTCACACCAAGGTCTGCAATATCGATCAAGACTATACATGCTCGCATCTAGTTTGCTATTTCAAACGGGAATGTGTACGTACGTGTGTGTACAGGTACATTCAGCACTCAAGGCAATGCGTAGGACTACAATGCATTGCATTGCACTATACCATGTGTATGTAATGTATTTGAATTTAGAGTGAAAAAGCCGTTGCAAGAAGTATCATTCTCTTGAATACTCTCGTTTTCTCCTGCAAATTTACAGTATGGGTAAGTCCTAGAATTACCTAATTTATTTACGAAAAGTACATAAATCTATAGTTACTATTTTTTATTCTGAAAAGTTGATATGTAAGTTAGACTCTTTGTTACTGTAATGCATGATCTTATGTCAGTGATAGTGAGCTCGGACTTTGAACATTTGCTGACTAGATTCGAAATGTATGATCCCATATATGTATTTTTATGTAGGGTTTTGATTGACGGGATGCATGGCATGGGGCATCATTTAAAGCAAAAAAGTTTACTCATTTGCCTACACATGGGCTGCATGGCTTTAAAGGGAAATCTAACTCGAATATACAACTGCTCTAAAACTGAAAGAAAGCAGAAAAATAAGAGAAGCAAACAGATGAAAGTTTTGGCACTAGGTAGGTCTACTGCTAAGTCACACCTAAGATGGATAATACATGCAGTCACTCCTTTATTCCAAGCAATACGATCTACTACTAGTTCAGAATCATATCCAGACTTTTTGACCAGTGACCCATGGCGTGGCCGGTGAGAGTCCTAAAAATCTAAAACATAGGTCTAGATCGGCCTAGACTACCCCAAATCAAGCAAATATTCATGAAATGTTCAAATAATGCCAATCATGATTTAAAAGTCGTTATGTTTCTAACCTGTTTCTGGTCAATTTTTCTTATTTTGGGGGGAGTATTTTTCGGGAAAAACGTTGATTGTAGTATACACTTTCTGACAGGTTGCACGGCAAACCGCTGCACAATACAAGTGCATACAGATGGAGGGTTGCGGGGGCACGTAAGTCTGCGTGAAGTGATCTACCTCCTCATTGTACGGTAGATAACTTCACACAGGCGTGCACCCGCCCGCAACCACCATCGGTATGCACTTGTAATGTGCAGCGGTTTACAGTGAAACCTGTGAGAAAGTGTACTATAGTACCGGCCCAGGCCCAGATGTTTGAAAATTGAACATTGCGTGTCGATACGTAGAGGAATAAAGCAGTGACTTGTGTCACAAACATGTAACCTTAAACAATTTGTTTCTACAGTCTTTAGACAGCAAATTTAGCTTATAGGCTACCGTATACAGAAATCTTATCTGGAAATAATCGGTTAGACCTGTAAATGGTAAACAAAATTCTTTCCCCACAGGCTGTTCAAAGAAGCCTGTAGTATTTGTGTTGCACATGCATACATTATCAACCTTTCATTTTGTTTTAACTTTATTCATTTTCTCATTTATTTGTAGGCATCTTCTTTTAACATCTTTCGTCAAAGAAGTGGATTCAAAGCACATTGTGGCCTCAGTATATTGATGTGAAACCATGCAGAAAATGCTACTTTCTCTCAACCTTGTGGATGTTCCCTACTTCCTAAGGATCAGCAGCCTCTTGAAACAGGTGAAGCCATTATCGGTAAATGTGTACATGTACTTGTATTATTTCTGTACATTTATTTGTCATATTGTGCATGATCACTGAGACACTGACGAATTAGACACTACATAATGGTTCATTTCATTTGAAAGGCTTATTTCAGTTATTTGTCCTAAGTTTCAAATATATTTATAATTCAATTAATTTTAGATCACTAAAACCTGCAGGTATGTTGCAATAACCGACAATATTATGTGAGTTTCAAACAGTGTTTTTTTACCCTTCAGCATAGGTCAAGGAGCTTTCATTCTACCCTCATCAGCAAACTACAGGAATGCCAGTTTTCAGGCAATAGCCTGAATTCAGGCCCTGAGGAGTTATTTTCATACCATAGTTTAGGTTTTTTGTGTACAAGCTAGCTCATTCTAGGTGATTTTTCAGGTCCTCTGATCAATTCTAACTGGCATCCCTGAAACTAGAATTGTATTGATAATTAACCAAACAAAATCCTGAATCACGTTTTGCATTGCCCACAAATGTTTAAAACCCAAAGGTGTGTTGACTTTATGTTTGTGAGCAATAAGAAATTATTTCTGATAAATCTTACCAAGCAGTACTTTTCTGACAGAATTAATTATTTACGTTCCAGTTTTAAAATATATGAAAGTTTTTCTTAAATTGTATTCCTTTCTTTTTGCTTTATTCATGCATTAGAATTCCTTGCGTCTATGTTCCTTGGATCTGAAAACAGTGCATAATGCAGGAGATTCCACCCAAAAGCTAACCCACAAGTCCAAGCTGAAGTGGAATATTTTGCAAAACTTGATCTACCTTCACCCGATAGCTTTACTGCTAGAGAAAGGTTATTTTTTCACTTCATTATACTTTATAGAGAGAGATTGGGGGAGGGGGAGGGGGAGGGGTGAGGTGTAGCCACAAATCTGAATGGATAAGCTGTAGAACTGAAATTTCCAGTCATGTTACTTGCAATTGTAATGAATTAAAGGATTTACGAACTGACATAATAACGATTTGGGTAAAAGTCTAAAAGATTCCAGTATTTTGAGGATATTTGTAATTACTATTCATGAAGTTGACCTGTTTCATAATGTCTCATGCTCACCCCCCTCCCCCCCCCCCCCCCCCCCCCCCCCCCCCCCCCCCCCCACCCCATCCACTTCATATCAGTTCTTAAAACATGTTGCAAATTATATATACATTGTTGGTAATAGAGAAAAATTGAGTGAGGTAAATGCAATACAAATCGAATCCATTATTAAGCAATTAAGACTTGTTCAGGTACGGCACGTGAACCTCCAACAAATTTCAAAAATGATGCAGTTTGGTTTTATGTGTAAAGTGAATGGCAACAAAGGACCTACCGGTGCGTGTCTTTGTATGTTTTGGACTGCGCAAATTCAGTGAGCTCTTTTTAATAATATACACTATGTAAAGCGTATTGAACTCTATGTCAGCATTTAAAAAACTCTGCGATTTTGACTGTTTTGCAGCATCATATCTGAGCAAGCCTTAACGGGACGTGGTAAAATTGTTCAGATGAGAGACAATTGTGCTAAGGTATTGACTTCATGCTATATGTACACTTAAAGATAATCTGAAAGTTTGAGTGAAAAAAGACCATTATTGATGATAAAAACTTGGGAACAACTGATCTGATCGATTCCTTAATTCTTCCAACTATATTATTATAATTTAATTAAATTTTAGGTGAATGTAAATCATCACAAAGAAAAGAATTGGCTCTAATAATACCTTAGATTTTTAAAGCCTGTTTTATATCTTATTTTCATGGAAAAACGGTTGGGGGAAAATTCAAAAATTTATTGGGAGAATGAAGTGTTAAAGAGTGACACACAGTGGCACCTTCAAAGAAAACCATAAATATCTTTGTGGTTTGAGAATTTTTTGGTAGTTAAAAGTATAAAATTCTTGGATTGTATCTGTGATTTTGAGAGCACTATATGGCTTACCTTTATTGAATTCGCTGTTAAAATTTAAGTTAAATTAATATTTTGTGAAACTCCCCCCAGGAGTTTCAAACGTGCCAAATGAATGTTGTGACATTAGCAATAGAATGTATCTCTTTGTGCTAAACTTGTTCAGCATGTTTGCTATTTTATCTTAAACTTGGAAATATCTTCTGAATAATTATTGCACAGTCACCTTGGAATTGCCCAACAAAGCCACTCGTACTGGCGGGAATGTTATCTGATAGAAATTGTATTTTTATACTTGAACTTCAGCTTCTGTATTTACAACAATTTTTTTTTGGATGATATTTATAAAATATGAATGTTGCCACTAATGCCTTTTCTTGTATTTAAGTCATGTGCCAGTAAGAAGCAGGTTTCTAGCACAGAAAATAGGTACAGTTGAGCTGATATCTGCACAGTTTTCCAATATGCTGTATCGCCAAATGTGAACATCGTGGTTTCAACGGGCAAGCAACCATCATCAGAAAACTCTGCAGGTATCAGTGAAGCTGTCCCTGTTCCCCTTGCTGCCAACTTGTTTCTTTTGAGTGTAAGAAATAACTTAGCTAAGCCATGTGTTTATCATTTGTGCCATTTTTCTCTTGTGTGTGATTTAGATTGTATAGTTTTATACTTTATACTGAATTCTTGCCATAAACTTAGATATTCCCCTTGTATGTAACAAGTATTGATCTTTCATGCTCAGGAATTGTTTCCAACAACCTTTTGTTTTATGTTATAGTCTTTATCTGCATTAAAGTATTGGGGTTGTGAGGAGCAGTGTTGCAGCATGGAGACGAAATAGAGCTGCACTGATGAATGCCCAGCTTTCCACTATGCTGTTTTGCTGAATATGAGGAACTTCCCCAGTCTGATGTTTTCTTGTCTACTAAACAACTGCGGGTATCAGTGTAGCTTTACCTAGTCTCTATGCTGCTAACCTGCTTCTCACAACCGCAAGACTTATAAGTTAAGCCAATATATATCATAGTTTCTTGTAACTGAATTAAATTTGAAATGAAATAGCACAATTTATAACGAAACAAATATCTTTGTGATGGCCTGTTAACTTTCTTAAAATCAATTATGAGACTGACAGAAATACACTAGGTATTTATACAGCATGTTTTGGAAGAAGTTTCAGGATGGTGATGGAAAGATTTTGTATTTATAGAAGACAAGTTAGATAGAAGAAGGTATAAACATAAGTATTCTATATTTTTATTATCCATTTTCATACCATATAAATGAACATTAAAAATATGAAAATTACTTTCTGTCTGGCATGTGTATATATTATGTGATGCAATATCTGTTGCTCTATTTTTACTGTGTGAATGTTCAGAATGTATTCATGAAGTGACTTTTACACTTTCTTCCTTCATCAGGTGGTCATATAGATGTCATTTAGAGGACACAAAAGACGTAAAGATCATGTAAGGATAAAAGGTACATCGAAATGACCAGTAAGATGTAAATATCACGTCAAAATTTGATGTCCATACAACGTATACATCTTTCTTGGGTAAAAGTTGACGTCTTAAAGACGTCTTTCTTGGACCAATAAGACCAGAAAAAAATATGACGTCCATACGACGTCTTCCATGGTACAAGTTGACGTCTTAAAGATGTCTTTCTTTGACTAATAAGACGTTAAAATCACGACAAAATATGACGTCCATACGATGTCTTTCTGTAGTACAAGGTGACGTCTTAAAGACGTCTTTCTTTGACCAAAAGATGTAAATATGACGTCCATACGACGTCTTTCTATGGCACAAGTTGACGTCTTAAAGACGTCTTTCTTTAACTTATAAGACGTAAAAATCACGTCAAAATATGACGTCCTCATGACGACGTGCGCGGGTGCAAAATCATGTCTTTTTGACGTCGTGTTATGTCGTCTTAAGGACGTCTTTCTTTAACTAAAAGACGTAAATATGACGTTCATATGACGTCTTCCTATGGTACAAGTTGACGTCTTAAAGACGTCTTTCTTTGACTAATAAGACGTAAAAATCACGTCAAAATATGACGTCCTCATGACGACGTGCGCGGGTGCAAAATCATGTCTATTTGACGTCGTGTTATGTCGTCTTAAAGACGTCTTTCTTTAACTAAAAGACGTAAATATGACGTTCATATGACGTCTTCCTATGGTACAAGTTGACGTCTTAAAGACGTCTTTCTTTGACTAGTAAGACGTAAATATGACGTCCATACGACGTCTTCCTAAGGTACAAGTTGACGTCTTAAAGACGTCTTTCTTTGACTAATAAGACGTAAAAATCACGTCAAAATATGACGTCCTCATGACGACGTGCGCGGGTGCAAAATCATGTCTTTTTGACGTCGTGTTATGTCGTCTTAAAGACGTAGTACAAGACGTAAATATGACGTGATATTTACCAGTCTCTGCTATCAGGGTAAGGTCGGGACATCTCGGCCCAGTTTTTCCAGCTGGGCCGAGTAGTCCCGTGGGCCGAGTTAGCCCGGATTCGGATGTATCGAGGCGGAGAATTTCAAAGCTGTAGCTACGAGGAAAAACCAGACTTTCCATGGGAATCCTATACGGTGCGATGGAGCAACGAGGGAACTCATCAATGATGTTATGAATTACACCAAGAAGCCTACCTCGTCCCGTAATGATGCGGCAGACTATGAGATGATACACATAGCAAAGCAATTGTACATCAAAGATCACGAACGCCGATGCCACAGTCCTCTGGACGTCAGTGAATGTGGTTTATACATTCATCCAGAAATGATTTTCATCGGGGCTTCGCCAAGTGCGCAGGTGAGCTGCAAGGAGTGTGGCGATGGTCTTCTTCAAATCAATTGTTCTAAAGTTTGGAAGAAACCAACGCATCAGAACACTGAATACCTTATTAAAGCAAGACGTGGTAAGGACGAGCTCAAGATGACCCATGCTGTCTACACTCAAATCCAGACACAACTGGTTGTGACGGGACGACCTTGGTGTGATTTCTTCAGCTGTACTAAAGCTGGTCATTTCCGACAGAGAGTAATATTGAGGGATTTGCAGCAAATGTCAAGGATTTTTTCCTCACACATGTAGTCCCAGAACTAGTAACAGGAGGTATTGCCCAAAGCATTCTTAATAGCAATCCGACGTCTTCAACAAGTTACCCGCTACCTGTTTCTTCAGCTGCGACGTGTTCAACGTTTGAGTGTGTGCCAAACAATTATAGTTCGGGCACAGACAGTTCAGTACAGCCATCAGCTTGTTTCACAAGCACAAGTACAGCAGAGCCACATGTAGCCTTTGAGGATAAGTCGAATGGTGAGGTACTACCTGACAGTCTGAGTGAGAGAGCGAGACGATGCAAATCTACTGATGAGGCTTTTTCGTTACCAAGGTATGATCAAGAAGATATCGACACAATCGAAGCAAAGACGAGAGGCCAGAGTGATAATCAGCTGTGGTTTGATTATCGCATCGGTTGCATCAGTGCTTCGCGCTTTAAGGAGGTAGCGTCATGGAAAGGATCAAGACGTAATGATCCAAAGATACTTGTAAAAACAATAATGAAGTATGATGTTCTAAACCCAGATCTACCAAACCTCGTCTGGGGTCGGACCATGGAGCCAGTTGCAAGATACGTATACTTACAGGTTATGAAAAGCAAGGGCCACGAAGACATTAAGGTTATAGAATGCGGGATCTTTTTCCACCCAGAGAAGACTTTTATCGGTGCATCCCCAGATGGTCTTGTAAGTTGTAAGTCTGGTTGCAAGGCTTGCAAAAGAGAAGATGATAGATGTGGCATTTTAGAAATCAAATGTCCTGTAAGTCTAAAGCCTGGTGAGACACCTGGACCTCGTAATACTGGATACATTAAAGAATCTGCACGTGATCGCAATGTACTCGGCAACCAACATACATACTATTATCAGGTCCAAACCCAACTAGCAGTGACTGGACTTTCTTGGTGCGATTTCTTCGTCTATAATCATTACGGCAAGAGCTTCATTCAAAGAATTAGACCACGTCCCCGACAGTGGAATTTCGATGCGATCCAAGCGGAGCAATTCTTCTGGAAGTACATCGTTCCTGAGCTCATAGACAGGCTGCTCCAGAAACAGATGGTCAGGGCTCCAGTCGGTAATGACTCTACCGAAAGGTTCGAGTGGTAACTTCATAAACTTTGCTATAATTGTTATAGGGCCGCAATTTCTTAGCTTTTATCATTTGTAAATTTTAGGGTATAGCTTTCCCCTTTAAATTTGCCTTATAACTTGACATGATTTTAGTTAATGAAATGAATGAAAGATTATATGAATTTGATCACCCCCGTGTCACACAACTACCTGAACCTGACGAACTAGAAACAACTGCAGAGAGGTTGTAGTCTTGTGGATTTAAGTCACGGGACTATATATCAATCCTCACAAGGGACAGGGTTCCAATTCCAGACCATAACTATTAGATATCCGTTGCCAAGTCGTAATATACATTGGACCCCATGGAAGAGCTATCCAACCGTTTGTCTATATTTTACACATTTATTTACCTTCTTATCATTTGAAATTTGAAATAAAAACAAACCAACAAAACATTACCCACTCTCCATAACAAGGGCAACAATGTGTCGGTGGCTAATTAATCGCCATTAGTGTCACAGCGTGACGGATGTGAGCGCTATATAAAAAAGCCATTATCATCATCATTATTTGTATAAGTAGTAGAAGCAGTAGTAGCAGTAGTAGCAGTAGTAGTAGTAGTACATTTTAATAGTATTAATAGTAGTAGTAGTAGTAGTAGTAGTAGTAGTAGTAGTAGAAGTAAAAGTAGTAGTAGTAGTAGTAGTAGTAGGATGATCAGTAATAGTTGTAGAATATGAGTTCCTAAGGTAAGACAAGATCATCATCAGTACCTGTGTTAAACCATCGTGCTTTCCAATCTCTTTCCTTAGGAATGCTCGACACAGAGGGGTAAACTTGCCAGGTACTGAGGCCTCTTCTAGAGCTACTCCACGAAGCAGAGCTATAGAGTTCAGGGATAGTAATAATCCTGATGATAGCGGGGTCTGCAATATAAGAAGTACAGATACTGAGGTGGTTACCCAGGGTAAATTCTTCTTCTTCTTCCTCTCCTTCTTCTTCTTCTTCTTCTTCTTCTTCTTCTTCTTCTTCTTCTTCTTCTTCTTCTCCTTCTTTTTCTTCTTCTCCTTCTTTTTCTTCTTCTGTTTTCTTCTATTTCTTCTTCTCTTCTTCTTCTTCTTCTTCTTCTTCTTCTTCTTCTTCTTCTTCTTCTTCTTCTTCCTCTTTTTCTTCTTCTTCTTCTTCTTCTTCTTCTTCTTCTTCTTCTACACCTCTTTATCGAGTGTACTTCTATACAACCGGCCTTGGATCTTCTTCATCATCTTCTGTCAAGTCTTCTACCCGAAGTAAACATTGACTTTGACCTCTACTGGACTCTGGTTCCACATGCAAGAGGTCGTAACAGGGAGGCCGTGCGCCTATCCAACTTTTTTATTGTCATTCTTAAAAGCACATTATATTGGCTTTATCGTACCTCTCGTTTTCTTGATCCACTTCCTTTTTGGAAACTTAGAATCAAGAACAGAGTCATTCTTGATTATGAATTTCACAAATTACAAAACAATTTGGTGTTATTTCATAAGATATGGTCGTACAATAATGTACTCTTTCTTTCAGATGATATTGATCTCACATGGTTGATTTAATTGTTGTTTGTGATAAGTTTGTCTTGAGAAGAAGCTCATAGTTGGAAGTTATGAATTCCCATAATTTAATCGTTTTGAAACACTCTATGGATGTGTAATCATTTGTAATCAGTGTTTAGTACAATTTATGTTTTTTCTCAATTTCTACCGTCGAAATTATTGTTTTTTTATGAATTGTTTAATGGTTACTTTCTCATGTATTACGTACTACTTGTTGTTGATTATTGGTATATGATTCACAAACACTTATTATATTAAGTGCATCACTGTTATTTTTTTTATCTGTTTTAATTATTATATGTATTGTAAATAAAGTTTTACTTTCAAAAGTCAAAAGTCTTCTTCTTCTTCTTCTTCTTCTTTTTTTAATATATAATAATATATAATAATAATAATAATAATAATAATAATAAAAATAGCCTAATAGTCTTCTTCTTCTTCTTCTTCTTCTTCTTCTGTTTCTGAGAGTGAAGGATATAGATGAGGAGAGAGAGACAGAGAGAAAGAGAGAGAGAGCGAGTCGAGAGGGAGGGAGAGAGAGTTATGGATATAGATGAGGAGAGGAAGAGAGAGATGACAGAGAGAAAGAGAGAGAGAAAGAGAAATATATAGTGAGGGAGAGAGAGAGAGAGAGAGCGGGGGAGCGAATCGAGAGGGGGAGGGAGAAAGAACTATAGATATATGAAGAGAGGGGGGAGAGAGAGAGAGAGAGAGAGGGGAACAGAAAGAGAGGGAGAGAGAGAGGGGGAGATAGAGATACGGAGATAATGATGGGAGAGGCGGGGAGCAAGATATACCAGTGAGTTCCGTTAAAAAAAAAAAAACGAATATCTCACCTTTTGTTGAAAACCAAGCACGCGAAACGGTATCCTTTACAGCATTTGTATTGCGGCATCGATCTAGTAAACTATTCTGAGGCGCAGAGGGAGATTATTACTATAAAGATTGCACTCTAGGATGTCATGTTTATTTTTAGATGCATTATTACATTTGTCACGTCATTATCCAGTGAAGAAAAGGAGGGACTGTGCTGAAGACAATTAGACCGTGTAAAATCCTGTTTTGAATTTAGCTGAACAAAACTCGTCATGAGTAAATAGCAAAGATGAGAACTTAAAATGCCTTTTCTTCTAATTCAGTGCATTTCACTGTATTTTACTTCTGTTTCATTTTTTTAAAGCCCGTCTGCACTAGTTTGGCCAGGTGGATTACACCTCCCTTCAAGCATCATCAGTATCAGTGCTGTTCTTACAGAGGGCCGTGTATTTATTATTACCCCTGCAATTGCCAGGTACTCATTTACACCTGTTTGGAGACAAATTTCAAAGGGAAATTAGTGCCTAGCTGGGATTAGAACCCTCGACTCTTTTATTGAAAGGCAAGTGGATGAACCACTATACTACGACACTTCCGATTAGCTCTGAACATTTACAATGTACTAGGACACCAACCCCCTGGACAACCACCCCTAGGATAACCACCCTCTAGGACAACTACACCCTAGGGCAAACACCCTCTAGGACGAATATCCCCATGGGACACCTACCCTCTGGACAACCACCCCTAGGATAACCACCCTCTAGGACAACTACACCCTAGGGCAAACACCCTCTAGGACGTATATCCCCATTGGACAACTACCCCCAGATAACTACCCCGGACAATTGACCCCTAGGACAACTTTCTCAGGACAACTACCCCCGGACAACTATCCCCAAACAACCACTCCCTACGGAAACAATCCTCTAGGACAACTACCCCCGAACAACTATCCTAGGTGGTATTTGTCTGGAGGTAGTTGTCCGGGGAATAGTTGTCCAGGGGAAGTTGACCGGGGGAAGTTGTCCTAGGTGTTAGTTGTCCTAGAGGATGGTTATCCTATTTGTTGTTATCCTGGGGGTAGGTATCCGGATACTCATTTACACTACCCAACAGGAAGGCAACATCCCAATGAAAACACGAATATTCATGACTTTTGTTTATATAATTATCTTTTACTTCTAGGCATGAACTTGAAGAATTCAGATATTACATTGAATAGTACTGAACACTTAGAGGGAGATATATACACTCTTAATGAATTTAATTCATTACTCGAGTTTTTTATAAAAAAATCGCAAATATACAATGTTAAAGAATTCAAGCCACTTGTTTGACCATGTTATATTTCTGAAAACCTTAAAATCATGTTCATCAGAATACCTAATAATACGAAAAACGAAACAATCATCAGAGTTTTTACAAAAACTGTCAATTTTCAAAATTTAGCCTAATGTCCTCTGATAAAATTGGCCATAGAAAAGGTGTAGCAACATTACTCTAATGAATTTTCAGAGGCATCGTATTATTAATAATAATATTATTATTATAGTATTATAATGGACTAACAGCTACGTAGACAAGAAGGGCATTTATTTATCTCTAAGCGAAATACTACCATTTTCACTGATACAAGTAGAAATTTGTATTGTTGGAATTATACTCCATACTAATATCTGTGTATTGCATATTCTACGTATAATAAAAAAAAAAAAACTTCACTGATTTACATCTACGCTGAACAAAAATGTTCTATTTGTTTTTGTTTTTGTATTGATCCAATACCATTTTTACATTCAAGATAAACATGATACAACTATACAGACATTTATATCCCTGTAACAACGATAAATCAAAGAAGAAATCAAATGGATCTATTAATCAACATCAATGTTCTATAACAACTATACACACCACAACAAATTATCCAGATAGTACTTAAAAGCTCACACAGCTTAAAATTAATGGTAATGGAACAAGGGAAGAATTTTTTATAAGTTCCAGTTGAGCACTTTAAGCCACTTCCTTAACGACATTCCAGTTTTTCCTTAAAAAATGTAATGATAAGAATTACTTCTATTTAGAGAGTGTAGCTTCTATATGAATATACTCTACTGTGCTTAATACAAAGCATCACATTACTACCCCTGCACGAGCTAACCGCCATGATAAGGCGCCAAAGCATTCAAGGAATTTATTTCTTCCAGCTAACCACTTACTTCACCTGGATTGAGAGTGGCAAAAAGCACAAGTGCCGCGGCGGGAATAAACCACGGACCATGCGATTCACAGTCCGGACAGTGGTCATGTATCCACTATACCACGACACCATTAATAAACATGGAAAATGCGTTTGTATGTGTTTTTATTAACTTTAAAAAAAATGCAAATCAATAATTTTGTTAATGATGTATTTTAAATTTCATTTCAGCGAATTATAATTCCAGTTCATATCAAAGGCCTCTCAAATAAAATAAAAGCATTATCTGAGTTCAAACGCAAACTGAATAAACGTGTAATCTGAGTAATATATTTTACGTTATGCAGAACGTACCATTATGTTCAGCCAAATAAATGAAGAGCTTTGAATTAACATTCAATGGTGAAAGCCCTTGAGGGTGCAATTGTGCGTATTACGATCCATCCATGAATTTCTTTCAGGGCCCAGTTTCATAAAACTTGTTATCAATAACAAGTTACAAGCTACTGTTAAAAGCAACTGAAAACATGGCATCTAATTGGCTGAGAGCAAATTTGTCATAGAAATTTAGCAGTTGTTATTGATAACAAGTTTTATAAAAACGGACCCCAGGGGTGTTGTGCTGCAGCCAAGATCACTCCAAGACAGTTATATCTCTGGATACAGAAGAAAACAAATTAAGTGATGATTATAATGGTGATGATGCAGCTACTTCTTGGAAAACTACTACTTCTACAACTAATACAACTACTGCTACTTCTACTATCTCCATTATGTATTTCTTTACCTACTACATGGTACTACTACTAATACTACTAATAAGGAGAGAAAGAAGAAGAAGGAGAAGTACTGAGAAGATGAAAAGAAGAAGAATAGGTAGAAGATGAAGAAGATGAAGAAGAAGAAGGAGAAAAGGAGGAACAATAAGAGGAAGAAGACGAAGAAGAAGAAGAAAAAGAAAAAGAAGAAGAAGAAGAAGAAGAAGAAGAAGAAGAAGAAGAAGAAAAGGAAAAGAAGAGGAATAAGAGAAAGTAGAAGAAAAGGAAGGCTGAAGAAGAGTTGGAAGAAGAAGAAGATGATGATGAAGAAGAAGGGAAGAAAAAAGAGGAAGACGAAGAAATTAAATGGAATAAGGAGAAGAAGAGAAGAAGAGAAGGAAGAAGAAGAAGGATAAAGAAGAAGACGAGGAAGAAGAAGAAGAAGAGAAGAAGAAGGAGAAGAAGAATGAGAAGAGAAGATGAAGACGAAGAAGAAGAAGAAGAAGAAGAAGAAGAAGAAGAAGAAAGTAGAAATGGAAATAGAAAAAGAAGGGGAAGAAGAAGGAGGAGAAGAAGAAGATGATGAAGAATGATAATAATGACTTTTCCTGATTATTAAGAACGAAAACACTTGTAATGATTGCAATATAGTGTTGTTCTTGAATATTGAATAATTACATCCGTATGCGTTTAAAGAGAGCAGAAGTATTATATGTATGATGGTGAGTTAGGTGTCTGGACAAGGAGATTTCTCTTTTGCCTTTAGATTTACGGCACATATTAATCAAATAGCACTCACCAGTCACCACCATGAATATTTGTCCGGCATTAGTCTTAAAAGATTTATGAAATATTGCTTGTAAACTTCTTCAAATTTCTGTTTTAAATGAACTGTCCGAATACACAATTTAAGCACAATTAAAAATTTGTATGATGATTATTCATTATTCAAGTTCTCGATAGGGGAGGTTAAAATCTGCAGTATTGACCTATAACCTACTGGAACCTGGTGGTCCCTGTATTAAGCCAATGGGGATTGGATAATCCAGTAGTCAATGGCTTAATAGTAGGGACTTTTAGATTCGCACGAAGACAATGGGGATTGCTACGGTCGACGTCCTTTTAATGCACTCCCTTGAATGGACGTCACACGTATCAGTCCACGCAAATCTAAAAGTCCCTATTATTCGGGAAAGCATCACTTACTATATCGGTGCTCATCATTGGGGGAGAAACCCGGGTTCTGCATTCCTACTCCTTGCTCACTGCACAGATAATACAAACAAGAAAACAGAGTGGAATAGCATACATATAATTTATTTGTTTACGAGTTTAATAGTGCGAATATTTTTACGAGTTGAAGGATTAACGTATTAGCAAGTACAGGGAATCGAACCCTATACATTGTTATTGTTTGGCATCAACCAGACAAGTACAGAGGCCAGTCACTCTATACCCCGTGATCCCGGTATTATGCGTAGCGAGAACATACAGGGAACTTAGTCCTGTAATACAAACATAGCAATTGTTCGTACGATTAATTTTCGCGATTAATTGCATTGATTCATATGTGCAATCAATCACACCAAATCAATCATGCCATCTACATTCTAAGAAAAAAGGGTGCAAAAAAAGAGTTTGCACCCTTGACATAAAAATTAACCCTATTGAAGGAAAAGGGGTTCAAGAAAGGGTGCGATATAAGATTTTGCACCCTTCCCACAAAAATGAACCGTATCGTAGTTTCAGTTTGGATATTCATCATGCTATTATGTTCTTATCATTTCATTTCTTCTGTACTCACTTCTTGATTTTTTTTTCTATTTCCACAGCGCTTAGAGACTTGATTGTAATTTGCGCTATAAAAAAACTGATTATTATTATTATTATTATTATCGACCAAAAAAGAGTGCAAATTAAAAGTTTGCATATTGCATGCATATTCATGATCACTTTTCACGCATACAAATACATTTATCATGATTTGTTAAGCAAATTTTGACAATGCACATCAATTTTGTGATTTGTATTTTCCTTCGGCATTATCATTAACCAATAGATTATTTTGTCTGATCATGTTACAATTACATTCACATTTTAGCAATAGATATATTGATTATATGATTACTAACCAAAAAACAACATGCATGTGTAATATGTATTTGTGTACGAGCAAATTGCACCCCTAATGGAGCAGGATTGAACCGTTAAGGGTACTAACATGTCTCCTAAAAGGTGCGATCTGGCACCCTCCTTAAAGGGTGCAGGATTTAGCCCCTAAAGGTGCTGCTATTGTTGCATCGGTTTGTACCCCTACTTCATAAATGAAATGCAGCCACATATAGCAGCGATGAAGTAGGGTAAAACATTTACACGCTGCTATCTCTAATATTTCCATAATTTGATTTCATCTTTCACAACGCATTGACTCGTTACTTGGTGATACACTGACTCCTCAAATTCCCTCTCATTACATTATATTAACGACATTAATACCCGCATTAATATCACTCGCCGTGTAAATTTCAGTTTCTAATTTCCGCACGCAGTAACAACTGTTGTAATACACTGACTCCTCAGATTCCCTCTCATTATATTATATTAATGACATTAATACCCGCATTAATATCACTCGCATCAAATGCCATACTTGTTTTCAAACTTACAACTCTTTTCTCCCGCCGTACAATTTTCTCATGAATCTTAATCGTAAACTTTATAGTCAGTCCCCTTCCCTCTACACCGCGTTCAATTAGATGTACAGTGTACAAGTAATACATTTAGGATATTCTTTCTGCTGTGTCCTTGATTTTGATTGAAATAACAACCAACATGGCAACGACCTCGAGACCTGCGAAGAAAAGGAGAGTTTCTGATGAAGGCAGAAACTTTAAATCAGATTGGTCTCTAAAGTATTTCTTCATAGAAGAGAAAGGTGGACCACTTTACCTCATTTTCACCAGAGTATGTAATGGAGGTTAACAACATAGTAGAAAAGTGCAAGCCACAGAAATCACACTAAATATAAGCCTGATTTGTTTTTCTCACTGATCTTGTTGTTTGCTTGTTTGTTTTTGCAGAATTTCAGGTGTGTACACGTATTGCATGAGTGTGTGTGTGGGGGAGGGGGGAGACTAGCTACGGCCCGCCAAGTTATGCCAATCGTTAGCTGTGGCCCGCGAGCTTTAAAAGGTTGGCCATCCGTGCCATAAAGGGTACTAACATGTCCCCTAAAAGGTTCAATCTGGCACCCTTTTAAAGGGAGCAGGATTGCACCTTTAAAACGGGTGCAGGATTTAACCCCTAAAGGTGCTGCTATTGTTGCATCGGTTTGAACCCATAAAGGTGCATAGTTGCACCATTTCTCCTTAGTGTGTAGTGCTAAGCAGTGTTACAGGGTTCAGAACCCTGCACCCAATTCATCTTACAAGCACAGGGAATCGAACCCTTTACCTTGCAATTTATTGGTACTACTCACGTATCCCTTGTGCCTTTTCCCCTCGAGTGCACGACGACGGCGATGGCGATGAAGACGACCAGCATGACCACGATGACCGCAGCTACGGCCATGCCTATGATGGCTCCCTTGGCCAAGCCACCACCTACTTGGCCGGCAGACAGGGAAAGTATAAGAAGGGAACAGGTCAGAAGATGTTCAGTTTATGATGTAATCAAGTTAAAATATGTCGATTGATGTACTATTACCAGTTTCTTTTTTAAGTAACAGATTATATCATGTTTTGTGTGGTTTTGAATAAAATGAACTGAACTGAAATGTATTTCAAAAGAGTTATACGTATAGTCTCTATATGCAAAGTAATGTACATGTTTGAAGTCATGGTTGATATCTTTGAATCGGGTCTTTTAAAAATCATATTATGAATCAACTCGTAGAGCCTCGTCTAATTTAAAATGCCTTGGTAGGAATCTTTTTATTTGGGGAGTGGAATTCAACTTAAAGAATTGACTAATAGATCGTCTCCAAAAGAGAGTAATTCGATCATTTAATTTTTGGTGAATATTCCTTCATATTAGGAAGTGACCCTCTAATGTGATTCTTAAAGGCCCACTGCACTACTTGCAGCTACTTGCGCCCTCTATATAACAAACAATGCCTAATCGGTGACCATAGCTCCCCCATGATCCTCTTTTTCTTATGTTAACTGAGAGCTGAGTTGATGAGATAACCACCTGTCCAGTGAAGGAAAACAAAATAACGACATGGTGTCACCAATTCATCGATTTTTAAACTGGTGAGAAAATTCCCTAAATTATCCATCTCAAAAGAAAAAAAACAGCAAAACATAAATAAAAACACCCACAAAATGTTGTAATGGATGGAGGGATTTGGGGCTCCTAATCCGCAGCGACGTCTCTTAATAAGCCCCTGCAAGGTCACTAACAGGTGATTATCTCATCAAATCAACTCTCAATTAACAGGAAAAGAGGATCATGGGGGGACCAACGGGCACCGATTAGGCACTGTTTGCTATATGTAGAGGGCACAGGTAGCTGCATGTAGTGCAGTGGGGCTTTAATCAAACCGCTATGACACGTATATTACCTGATCCTGAACCTTGAAGTGAGGACACTGTCAAGGTATCACCTTCGGAGGAGAGGATGAGAGTGCCGCTGGTAGACAGGTCGGCCGCATCCTCGGCCAGAGAATCAGCAACATCTTGAGTGTAGGCATGAATCTCAATCTCCAACTCAGCGATAATGCTGCCAGGGCTGAAAGACGTGGCTTCACAGTCCATACCTCGAAGGTCCGATCCTAACTCCCGCCTAAGTTGATTCCCAATCTATTAGGAAATAAAAATCAAATAATAATAATAATAATAATGGTGGATTCGTATAGAGCCAGGTATCCTCTTACATCACCTGGGTTGAGTGTGGCAAATGTAGATCAATGTCTTGCTAAAGGACATTAGTGCCGCGGCGGGTCTCGAACCATAGACCTTGCGATCGACAATCCGGTGACAACATGATATGACAGCTCTACACTGCAAACCTTATCATAATTATAGCCTTGGCCTTTTGTAGGTGACCCAAATGTTTTGCTCCATATATGTTGGATTCCCTGCTGATTAATGATATTCAAAACAGTAGGTTTTTGTGTTGTTGCTGTTGTTTGTATTTTAGGCGTTCAGTCAAAATTGTTTGTTTAGTAGTATATTAGGGCCCCGTTGCACAAAACTTACCATTGGTACTTTGCCATCAATGGTAACTACCATGGGAACATTGATTTTGATTGGCTTTTGAGCCCTGTTACCATGGTAGTTGCCATTGATGGCAACGTTTCCATCAATGGTAAGTGTTATGCAACCGGGGGTGTTTCATAAAGCTGTTCGTAAAGTTACGCATGACTTTACGAACGACTTGTATATTATGAAAAGCCAAATGGGATGCTCAATCATTCTTGATTACTATTTATTAAGTTGAACTGTGCAGATATAGAATAACATTCTTGTTATAACAAACATTTTTAATGCAAAATATAATTTTTGCAATAATTTAATTGAGGTTATTGGAAATATTAGAAAAAACTTTGGGCACCCTCTCTGGCGCTTCATATACAACTCCTTCGTAAAGTCATGCGTAACTTTACGAACTCTTTATGAAACACCCCCTGGCCTACTGCTGTCTATGACCGGCAAATAATATGTCGTTCAGAAAACTGTGCGCCTGTAGAGTTAGAATTATTACTTTAATATGTTATTATCAATGTTTTGTCGTCGTTGTTGCTGTTGTTTTCACATTGTTTCAAACTTACCACTCCACAGTACAACGTTTCAAGCTCCTTGAAGCGAGGAGAAGCCTGGTTCTTCAGATCATCAGTGAACACAAGAATCTCTCCGTTTAGACTCTCGCCCGTAAGCGTCATCGTTACAGTGCTAGTAGAAAGCTCTGGGAATCGGAAACAAAATATTTTAAAAATTCACTCTTGCATCAAATTTGGTTAAAATTTAATAATGATAGTCTAATCAACCTAGGAAAGCCTCATCAGCAACAGATAATACTGTTCTCCGTCAGGGTCCTTTCATTATTATAGGCCTATCTACTAAAAAAAGTGATAATAATAGTAATAATAGCTACATTCGCGCTCGCATCTATCCCATGCGCTCCTCAGGGCGCCTACGAAGTGTTAGCGAAGCTGCCCCGAGGCGCTACAAACATTCAGGGAATAAATTCCTACCAGGTACCCATTTAGAACACCTGGGGAGAGACTGGCAAATGTAGATTAATGTCTTGCCAAAGGACATGTGTATCCTAATAAACAAGGGTAGAGAGTTGAAAAAAGTGGGTAAAACATATTGTCTAACGTGTCTAAATATATATGTAAGCACCGAGAAAGGCTCGAACCCGGGACCCCTCATATAAAAACCAATCCTCGAGGCTCGAGGAAATGATATGATAATATTAAGAAGAAAAGGATGAATAATAATGATAATAATTATAATGATAATATCAACAATAATAATAATAATAATGATAAATGCTTGCTACACCTGGATTGGATTGGCAAATGTGGATTAATGTCAGCTGGCTGAGATTCGAACCCTCAACCCTTGAATAGACCTTTTTACTTATTTTACGCATACCTTTTGAACAAAATACTCTCTTGATAACTAAAACAAAAAGGAAGTTTTTTTTCTCCGCCTTAGCAATAATTGATGTATGCACAGTGAATTCAATCCATAGGGACTGACTGGTGACCTGTGTTGAGGGGAACTTTCATGTATAAATTGAAATACATTAGTAATCCGGTCTACCGAGAGACAGGTGAATAAACTAATATACTTCGACATCTCAACAATAATTTAGACTCACTCGTAAAATCTGTCTCCAGTGCCTCGCAGACCCCTTCCACGCCCATGTATCCGGTGTAACGATAAATGGTATAATTGCTGATTTTAATCTGAAGGTTTTCAATCTCAAAGATTGGTTCGATGATGTCATCGATGGCGTCATTGAAGTACATTGAACACCTGTCGTTGTTTGTAAAAATCTCAAAACTGCTTTCGATGATATTCCTGGCAAAAGTCTGACGCTCTTCGTTATCATCTCCTGTATAGATATACAAATATATACGATTTCAAGATAAAAATATGCGTTTAAGAAAATGTATAACTATATTAGATGTATGACGAAATGATAAAGTATTACAAATAGATACACAAACAAACGAACAACGAATTGTTGAAAGAAACCTCCATACCAACGCCTTCTATTATCCATTCTTCACTTCGACTCTTTAATTAAATAAATGATTACAACATGTATATACTATAAATGATGCCCGAATTAAAGACACCAGTTTAATTTTAGTTGAAGCTTGTTCTTTAGTTGGAATATCAGAAAACTCTAAAAATTAACGCCTTCAAAGCCTTTTGATATTCAGGAAGCAATTGTCAGTCTTTTTAACCCCCATGTTCATATAATTAGAAGGCAGAGTCACAATGAATTTCTTGACTCAAACCTGATTGGTTTTTGCAAACCAGCAAAGACAAACAATTGTAGTTTCAGCTCAATATAAGAAATGCGTAAAGATACAATCAGGCTGACAAGGTTGATAGGGAGATAGGGATATAACCCTGCAGAAACACTATACAGTATAAGGATATTTTGTCCAGTGTTCTTTTTTATTTTTGAAATAATTTACCGCATAAGCTCATGTAAGTTCGTTTGGCTTTTATTTTTGTTTTTTCTTCATAATATTATTTTTCCCCTTAATCCGTCACCTGTTATGGCTAGTACCCTGTCGATTTCTTGGCAGAGCGCTCGTCTGCTGTCATATCCTACAGCCTGGGATGCAATACGAGCAGCATTCTGCACAACGTGGTACCATTGCGAAGTAGAATCTATCCCAAACGACTCGAGTGTCTGGTCCCAATCTTCACAGAGTAGAGCTGTCTCGTGTAGATCGACAACCAACAGCTTAGCACCAAATTCCGATATGATATCAGGTATGGACCTGTCCAGGAACTGGGCGATGTTTGGACAGATGGTAGACGGATCATTGATGTCGATGTTGTAGAGGTCTTTGGTGATATTCGCAATGATATCTAGGATATACATGTATGGGTCTTCCTGTCTGCGAACCCTTTCACCAGTTCCCGGGCCGTAGATCAAGTCGTCGATCATCTTGGTTACGTCTTTACAGAATTCCGTCGCGTCAAATGCCTCCAAGTTACTAGCTGCTTCGCGGATCCTCCCGCAGACTGGCTTATAATCCCAGGAATCTTGAACATAAGACTTAAACTCGGGTACCATCGATTCGAGCTCAGGTAAGACGTCTGTGCATACAAAGGCAAGGGAGTCGATGAGTCGGTCTTGTTGCCAGATGCCACCAGCAGCACTCAGGAAGAACTCAACGGTCAATGTGGTCCCATAGATGAGGTGAACTGGAACAGGGTCTGGGAGGTCTATTTCATCTGAGATTAGAAATGATATACATGCCATTTTACTTATCGCCAAACAGATCAATCGATATAAATGAGCAACCAGAGGCAAGTAAGTTTCAATAAATTCTAATCCACATTGCTCATGAAGTGTCAAGTTATTTTGTATCATCATTTGACCAAACGCATCGTATGTTCTGTTTATTTTACGCAAACCTTTTGAACAACCTCACTTAATGATGGCGCCCCCAAACTGCGCCTGTCGTTGATTCAGTAATAAATACATCTTCATTTGTATTGCAATTAACCTATCCACGATGACTCTAAGCGTTTTTCTGATATACTACAGGCTAACACTCATGTTTCATTTTTGTAAGCAAATTATCTACTAAAAATTGAGCAAAGAATACCAAAGAAAGTACAGAACAATACAATGTGTACTACAAGAAGGGTATTACAGGTACGTAATGGTATTGGAATTTACGGCCTTATTGCAGGCAGCCGACGATCTGATCGAAATTTGTTCTGTGAGCGTTGTTTTAATGAAACGAACACAAAACATGTTTTCTTTATTCTCTCTTCTTCTCTTTGTTTTATAACATTATATGTTTAATATTATTACAGTTTATGAACTTACACGAGACAGCGTTCTCCATTGCTGTGCAGACAGCTGTCACTCCACCATCAATACCGGTATAAGCAAAAATCTCATCCTCCGAAATCACAAAGGCGTGTATGTCCATACGTATGAGGGGCTCGATGACCTGGTGAATGACGTCATTAGCCAATGGAGTACATTTGTCAGCCTCCTCCACGGTAGCGAAGATTTCGGAGATGATGTCCATGGAGAACGTTCTCCTTGCGGCGTTGTTATCTCCTGCAAAACAAAAAAGAAGCAATACAAATTATGAGCACCATAATATCTCAAAGACTTTCGAGAAATCAACGTAAGGACATTTGAATACCACATAAGTTTGGCTCAAATAATCAAGTTCGGATAACATCCTTTTGCTATCATTATAATGTTCGCATATTTTACATGATGGTGAACGTGGCTATTGGAAAGTATCTTGTCTTTTGGGAAGTCTTTGGTATCACGTTGAGATCGGATCACTGTAGGATTAAGCCTATATACTGTACTTCGTGAAAACTATTAGAAATCGAGGACGACTCTATGTTTTATCGTCCTTGACAGGACGACATCGGTCGATCAGTAAAACATGGTGACGTCACGCTGTAGCGGCACACTGTGTATCTGAGTGGTTTATTAAAAAGAGACCAATCGTTTGCTTGTTTTGTACCCTTGGCTTCCATGTCGGTATTATATATATAGCTAAACCATCAATATCATACATTCACTACTGTCAAAGACCAATGCGGGTTTAAATCGACATTACACTACACATTTAGGAAAAAGCGACTTGTGAATGGCTTAGTCGAAGCGGAGAATAATTGGCCAGCATCATATTTAATTATAAGACTAGTTAACTATCATATGGGCCTTAATAACAAACTAGGTTTTTATATGTTCTTTAGTCGTTCATTACCCAACAATTATACAGTCGCGATCAACTGACATATCGTTTGTATGGAGCAAGGAGGGCCTTAACACATGTCCTCAGACACAGTTTTAATATCCTTCAGGAGTAACCAAGACGGATAACTGAATAGACACCGGTAGGCAAGATGAAATAAAAAGAAAATAAGAAGTCGATATTTTAGCAAACATTAAAAAAAAAAGTAAAATCAATATCTTACCTTGCACCGATAGTGCTTGCTCAAGATTTCGACAAAGATCCTCTCTGTCGTCATATCCGACCGCCTGAGATCCGATACGAGCGCCCTCTTGGATAATGTTGTAGTAAGGCGACGAGGAATCGATGCCTTCATCTGCAAGGAAGCCTTGCCAGTCTTGACAGATCGGGGCTGCCTGGGGTAGAAGGGCACTCATCAGTTCCTCCCCGAGCTCAGAGAGGAGATCTTGAAGAGATGGCCTCAAGAAATTCTCCTTGACGTTGGTGCAGATGGTGTTGATTGTAGATAGGTCATCGATGATCATTTTGATGTCGATTCCATAGAGGTCTTTGGTGATTTTGGTCAGGATTTCAATGATACCCAGCGGATCATCCATATTTTCTGCTTGTCTGCGATATCTTCCGCCACTGTCCTGAGATATAATGCCATTGACCACAGTAATTATGTCATTACAGAATCCCGTTGCGTCAAAGGCATCCAGATCTTCAGACGCTTCGATGACTTTATCACAGACGAAACCCCAATACAGACTTGACTGGTCCACTTCCGGTACCGCCGAACCGACTACCGGTAGGACACCTCTGCAAGCATAGGCCATTGAATCAATGACACGATCCTGCTGCAAGATACCACCAGCAGCGTTGATCATGAATTTGATGGTCAAACCAGGAAAGATCTCTCCCGGGTTCTGGAATGGCTGGAATGGCTCGTCATACCCTGAAGCCATGGCAACAAGTATTGAGATTGCGAAAAAAGCAAACGACCTCATTGTTGGATCGTTTAACAGCTGGCCTAATATAAGGTCGATCGCACCAGTCGAAATCGAGATAGTTCAACGTTTCAAGTCCTGTAAGTACATAAATATATAGAAATGAATTGCGAGAAATCAAGTTATGCTCAGACTTACCACAGCATTAAATATACTATGTCCCTTTTGCAGCCAACATCAAATTCTGTAGAACTTTGCAGGAATTATGAATATGTCATGTATGTCCTATCTGTGAAATTTAAACGTAAGCAGTGTCCTAATATTCAAATTATGCAGGGAAAACCGTTTAATTGCTAGACTTTACTGTTAGACACTATTGAGTGACAGACTGGCTTTCTTCTTCTTTGGTAATAACATACATAAAATGAGCTGTCAAGGGTACATGAGCATTTGTCTACATCAATAACCAACATCTTGTAATGGCCAAAATTTTGTAATGGCCAAAATTAAACTGATTTAATCCTTGCGCAGCGTAAAACGTACGACCATTCGGTACAATGGTCTGAAAATCAGACTATACTGGCTCTATAGCTCTTAAGTCGATTCGAAAACTAATTCCAGTTCAACATTAGTATTATCTTTCAAATGCCGTTGGAATTAAACCTTTTCATATGTTTGGCCTGCAAATGGGGCATAGTACCCTTAGATACTAACCTTTACAAAACCCATAGGCCCGTATGCTATCCTAACTCGAATAAAAATGGGCCTAGGTCTATCTAAATCACGATTAACAAATTTAAACTTTAGACGTCAGAAAGACTTCCTTTTTTGGAGGCATCGTTTAACAATGTTAAATCTGAGATGCACGGCACTACGTGTAATCAGTGTCTGTGATATGGTGTAATATTGAAGCCCTAAAAAAAATCGCGCTTCAAAATGATCAAGAAGTGCCTCAAAAAAGTAAAAATCTTTGAGTAACCGGTTTTTACCATACTTGTTTTCCCCAATAGACTGTATTTGTAATTCCAATCATAAATATCTTGATAATCAGACAGGCGATCAGCTTGTAAAAATCATGGGGTTCCTGACTGACATAAAGGTTTATGATTATCATTGCAGCATGAGCTAAATACAGGATTTTTTTTAGAATCTGAGACAAAGTTACCGGATCCCTTTAAATCCGATTTTGTTTAAAAGCATACACCCAGCATCGGGTATCGGGCCAATGTCAGATCATGGTCATGTAATATAGATACAGAACAGGGGGGAGGGGTGTTTCACATAGACTAAGATTAACTTTAAGTTGGACTTAACTATGACAGGCAGTTCATGCCACTGTTTGCTCTCACCATTATGATCTTTAGATATTACATATTCCTTCAATAATGAATTATCAAAAATGTAAATTCTGTTAAGAATCCTTAAGAACCGCAATTTAAAAGGAAGAGAGAAAAACGGAAAGGAGGATATTGAACCATCGTAAGGAAAATTAAGAAATATAGATTATATCAGAGAAGAAAAAGAGGGAGAGAGATCAAGAGTAAGAAAGGGGGAAGGAGACAGATAGGGAGAAAGAGAGTGAGAGAGATAGATAGAGATAGGGAAGAGATTGAGGATAAAGAGAGAGAGAGAGATGCAATGGGAAAATTAGTAGATGAGATAACATGTGGACAAAAACTGAAGTAATAAAAATTGAATAGAGAAGAAAGAAGAATGACAATTTGAGAAATACGCAACCCCTTGACTTGTGCAGTCGATTCCGGAAGACGATAGGTACAACCATTCGAAACGTCGATATAGAGCATGAGTGGGCATTTTAACAGAGATAAATAACCCTGTCGAAAGAATATGTGATGTAACCGCATACCTCAATCAAATATGAGAATGAAATGTACAAATTTGAAGGACCAACACAAAGGGAATATCCATACGTTTCTGACGTCACCATCTACTGTTATCGGTCTCGCGACCTTCGACTCTGTCTGCACAATGAGTGCAAGCAGGAGAGAGGGGAGAATAGAAGAGTAGATTAGAGAAAAAAGAGAAGAGAAAGGAAGGGAAGGAAGAAAAGAGAAGAGAAGATAAAATAAGAGAAGGGAAGGGAAGTGCAGGGAAGGAAGAGAAAAGAAGAAAGAGAAGGGAATAGAAAGGAAGGAAGTGAAAAAAGAGAAAAGAAGAGAAGAGAAGAAGATGATAGTGAAAATAAAAATAGGCAATACATAATAAGAAAGAGATGGATTACATGTTCAGTGATAATTCCATTATTATCAATCAATTCGAATTGACCCAACCGGGTTCTTAGCTGGCAAATTAGGAAATAAAAATGAATATTTACATTTTTTAATAAAAGCTCAAACAAAATGTTAAAAAATTGATATCATCAAATCCAAAAATCAATATGGATTTGGCTGCATATCAGGCAAACTGGGCTGAAACTTTGGACATCAAAATGTATGCACCTTGTTTAGTAGCATTAACAACATATATAGTGTGGGGCATTTGAGTTATAACAATCGGGTACTTATTAACATTTGAATTTTCTATCATAACCAATGTTCATTTGCCTATTTTGCGAATTATGTTTATTATGTGGATCTGAAAATATAATTTCATTCACTGACCCATTAAGACATCACTTTATACACAAAGACCCTTTAGAGTTGCCACAATATATGCACATTTATTTGGGAACATTAATATAAAATGTCTAACATGACAATAGCTAATGCACATAGTATGTAGATTGTTATACTTTCCACTAATATTGTTCTAAAAAAAACAATACAAGTCAGTTCATTTATGTTTATAGATCCCTCTACAATTTGTTATTTCTTGGCCATCTTCCAATTAATTTACAATGGCCCATGTTTTATTTGTGTCCTTTCTATTATTTTATAGCAAAAAAACCATCAACGAAAATGTCTACAATATCCATGTTTTCAGGCGCATGCGCTCTTTATCCATGTGCGGGAGATCTGGGAATAACCACTTTTAAAGGTGTAGCCCAGCATAACGTCGAATTAATTTTGACAAATGTAGAAAAAACTAACGGAATAGTAATTGAAGTAGGAGAATTTAGACAAAAGATTCATGAAGTATAAAATAAGTAGCTCATTTATTTTATAGATCCATACGAAATTTGTCATATCTTGGCCATCTTCTAAATCTTTGTTAATGGTAAATGTTTTACTACATGTAAACTGGTTCATGCAGATGACACTGCGGGGGAGGCGTGGGGCGTGACGCAGGTGAATGCGTTTGCGTGCCTTGGGGCTCTCTAGCTGGGAGCAGGCGTGCATGGGTTTGAATGCATGTTGGAAACTGGATTGTGTCCTTGGCTGCGGCCTACATATTATTGTATACATTACTGCATATTCAATAACCTTGTTTAATGACCTCAATATTTTAAAGTGATTATCGTGTCATTTCTGTGGTAACAAATTAATTTGTTTGCTTTATTTGCTATGTTTGCTTGTTTCACGTTGTATATCATCTTATGTCAAGGCTTCTTGCCCACCTATTATTATTGTTACGTACTTCACCATTACAACCACTCCAATCAAATGTTAGTTTTATTTTTAAAGGCCCACTGCACTACTTGTAGCTACTTGCGCCCTCTATATAACAACCAAAGCCTAATCGGTGACCATTGGTCCCCCATGATCCTCTTTTTCTTATGTTAACTGAGAGCTGAGTTGATGAGATAACCACCTGTCCAGTGACCTTGCAGAGCGCTCTAATCCCTCCTGTAAACTATGGCAGATAAGCTTTAAGGGAACCTATAATCTACAAGCTGAGCTTTTTAATAGGTTCCTTACATTTCACCCTGTATATAAACCTTCTATTCAATACAATTATTGTCGACGTCTTTTCAAAGAATTAATTATATAATGTGACACTTTTAGTTTATTTCATATAATGTTCTAATCTTGTCAACTATGTGAATTCTTTTTTGTGAAATGTGAAACAAATAAACTTGAAACTTGAAGAATAATAATTCGAGTGATTTATTGATGAAGGGTAAATAAATCAAAAAGTTCATCACCATCTACAGAATAGAACGGCATGTCAGCTAAGTGGGCAATAGAAGTACATGTAAATCTCAATATGATATTGCATTTCCGGCTTTGGGTTTGTAGCAATAAGCAAGCAATTGGGTGATAGTACAGTCTTGCATGGAGACACATTAACAACAGTTTTACAAGTGAAACCAGTACAGATACAAAAACACCTGAATACAAAGAACAGGAAGCTGACACCATACACCAGAAGAGGGATTGAAAGAAGAACTAATTGACACGATTAAAGAAAGAAAAAGTACATGTACACGGAAGTATTCGTAGGCAGGGCGAGCGAACGAGCCAATGAACAATGGCAATAGTGGAGCATATATCTGAGCATGAGCATGTTCCTGGCGAGATGCCCAATAAATATGATGGTGCATGATATCAAGGAGGAAATACACGCAATGTAATTAGATGCGCTCATACCAATATGTGAAAGTATTGCTGGTGGTTGTTATTATACCTGACTGCTAAGTCAGCATAAATGCTTTTAAGAAAGCAACCAGACGGCCAACGGCTTTAGGTCCTCTCCGAGGGACCTGGTAATAAGGATTAATGCCTTACCAAAGGGCACTAGCGCATCACCTTGGCTTTGAACCCGGGTCACCGGATTACGAGATCACTGCTCTACCGACTGAGCTATCGCGCCTTCTCAAGTAAACAAGCTACAGTATGGAAAGCATGATATTACTAATATTTTGAGACATAACAATATTAAAGACCATCAGTTAATTCACTGCTTTTAGTACCGATTCAAAACACATGGGGAAATTGAATACAGGTGGGTAATACCTGTGTCACAATTGTTTCTTTTTCTTTTGATTAAACATGCAATGAATAAGAACAATGAAGTAAGAAATATTGACTAAAGAAAAGGGGAATTGAGAAAAGTATAAACGAGACAACGCGAAATATGTTTCTCAGTTACTGCACGATAATAAAGGGTTAAACTTATTGAGAATTCAAATAAAACAGAATGAAAGCAATATAATTACCCGTTAAAACCCTCTGGAAGATTTAAAATGAAAGGATTAATGCATACAAGATAATAAGGACTTTAAGATTTGCACAACA